AACTAACTTGCTAAGATATAACTTACCTCTTATAAAATATTTTATTCAATAAGACGTTTATTAGTCTAAGATTTAATAGGTAGATATGCAATGTATATTAAATTTTTAATAAAAAATTAACATGTATTTCTGCATTGGATTATGAATCTATTATTATGATTATTTTATATTATATTAAGCCCTGAATAACTGAATATAAAACAAGAAACATATATTTTTAACTCAATACAAATAAAATTGTATCCACCTACATCAAGATTTTAAACAATAAYAACATCATGGTAAAAAAATTAAGCACCTAATTCTAAATTTTTCTAATGACTAATATATTGTAATGTATACTCAATGCTAGTCAATATAGACATATATGATAATACTACATTTTTCACCCCTTTACATAAATCATAAAGGCTGAATATAAGTTTTTCCGTGTTGTTTTTACTTAAAGAATTATGTCTTTATAAGTTTGAAGAGGCTACATAGAGTATCATTACTAYTGCCATAGTCCTTTYTGCCACCCTGTCTCCTTCAATTGTTCAGTATTTATCATAGAACTTACCTTAGAGATACTGTATTGTACTTATCAAATATATATTAAGTTTTTATAAACTTACATTATGTGTATTTTTTGCATTTTTCAGTCTTTGGCGAGTGCAAGGAGTTGAACTGTCTTCTGATGGTGAGTTAACCATCTTAAAATAGTAAATAAAAATTAAATATTAATAATTAAATTAAAWGACTCAATAATAATTAATATTTGATCATAGGTATACAACAAAAGGTAAGGAATTATTTTTGTAAGAACTCAAAGGAAGCTCAAACCAGGGCTGAAGAAATTGATCTAAAACAAAATTATTAAAYATGTAGGTATCAATAATATTATTTATTCTTAGTCATTTTTTTTTATTTTRTTAATTTAGTTAAATTTTCATTCTACTGTAAAAACATTTTGTCTCAAGTTGTTCAATTAATAAAAACAATTATTAAATACATATTAATTAATTATTTTATACTCTCTTATAAATAATTACTAACATAATGTTCAGTTGTTTAAATATAAAAAAATTTTACAGAGGACTTCGACTTTGGTGACTGGAGCCGTTAGGCGAAGGGAGTCACTATAATATTATACTTAGGTGTTAGGTAGGTATGTTATTACTTTAACTTAGTGGTCGGTACAAATGAAGAAACAGATATTGTTTATTAATGAATATATATAATATGATAATTGTATTGACTGTGTTGACCTTATGTGTAGTATACACCAGTATGGAGGTGGTAGGCGGAGTGAGCTACGATAATATTATACTAATGTCCCTTTAACGGATAAGGTTACACTTACAATATTATAATATTTATACTCATTAGCTAAAAATTTGAACATTTTTTGAACTTGCTGGACAATTATATTCACCAGCTGCTMTCATTGAAAATGAGGATCACGTTATCGTTGAAGATTCGGACAGTTCCAATGACAACGATACTACTGATTACGATGTGTAAATAAATAATTTGTTGATAAAACCAGGATCTTGTTTATTTTTTTTTTAAATCCTTATTTAATSTGTCCGAAAACTAWGATAACTAGCTAATTGTGCAAATTATGATTTTACCGTCATTCAAGTTGTTAAAATGTGTAGAAAAAAAGTCAAAATACGTTATAGACGCTGCRACTGGGATTAGATACATGCAATGTGCGCAAGCATATAAACGTAAAATCGCAAACTTTGGAAGGTTATAACTTAAAACTTCTAAAATAAATAATAATGGTTTCCGTAAATTTTTTTTGCACCATCGTTCTTAACTCGTTAAAATACATTTGAATCGATAACAAAAATCAAAAAACATGTTGGGTAGCTAAAGTGAATTTGTTCCCAAAATCAAATAACCTAATATTATAAAATAATTTTTCATATTTACCTTTTAATTAATAATGACTTCCAARAGAGGTAAGAGTTGTGATGGTCGTGACTGATAGATTAAAAATGAACGAATCTGTCGAGTGACTGGATCACGACCGAATAATGTACTTAAAATATTCAGTCAATTCAATTACCGATCTTTAGGTCTTTTGGAGGTTTTTATTGTTTTTAATGAAACTTTTCTTTCGGTCCGATACGACTATAATTGATGGGTAGTATCGAACTATCGAAATATTCGAAATATTCGATAGTCCCATAGAYATTAAAGAATAAATAGGCTATTTATGTTTATTAAACCATTATACGGCATGAACTAAGATCATTCTTCATCTAACATCACAGAACTGAGAACATGCTAACATCTTGGTGCATCAGTTCATGTGGAAAATGGAACACGACAACAAAGAAATAATAAATGCGCGGGAAACGTTATCGTCAAACATATGACCCCTGCAGTTCACAGCTAATGATAACAGATAAAGCAAAATTCATCATTTTTTTTAATGGAGTTTAGACTAGAGTTTAGTGAGTTTACTGAGTTTAGACCACGATTAAAGATATATCTTTAACCGTGGTTTAGACCATGGCTCATGGCTTAGCGCTAGGTTAGGTTAGGCTAGAGAGCCTAGATAATTATTATCTAGACTCTCTACGTATTTAGACGTATAGAAAATGTGCAACGGATTGAAATTATTACGCTTACGCACTAGTGGTCACTGCCTCACTGGTCACTGGTCAACTAGTTTCGAGAAATGTTATATTGAACACATAGACAATAACATACCTATTATAACTATTATAAATTAATTATTTTAAGTAATTATTATGAAGATTATATAATACATATTACTCAATGACATTACCGGGCAACTAAGAGTATCAATGCCGCTAAAAAACTTACTCAATTCTTGGAAATTGGAATTCATATTTACAATTTTGGATCATCATTGGCATTCGAAAATTCGAACTCACGTCGAGTCCTTGAAATTCGATACACCGWTGCATAAAATAAATACGTCTTGTWGTTGGCCATTATGAAAAAACCGAAAATTCATTAACGTATTTACATATTTTTACAGTGATCTCTAGACTATAATATAGCATTGATAGATAAATGATAATAGGTAATATAATTACATTAAAAACACCTATGTGTTAAAATTAAAATCAAATGTTTTTTGTAATCGTACCTACTCTGTTTAATATCATTAGATTATTTATAAACCGTGTTTGGTGTTATACTTATACCACAATAATTTTTTCACCTATTTTTCTATTATATCGTTGGAGAATCAAAGGAAAAAAAAATTCTTACGGTTTAACGCACATTACCTGTAATTTGGAATAACATGTTAAGAATAGGACAGACAATGGCGGATGTTAGCCTAAAGACTACCACTGGTGACTTTGGCGTACACGAGTACTTTCGAGGCAGGTGAGGAACTGTAGAGATCAATAGAGAACTATTATTATCCCCTCGTGGTCCAGCTCAACACTTTTTTAAGTCCAGTGACTTTCCCTACAAAAATCCGTTTAACGAATGAACGAACCAAGGAACGAACTTTATTAGAGGAAGCCTAAGGAAACCTATAGAGGCTTTTAATTTTTCCGTCTTACAAACTTTCAACATGCCAAATTTAGCGTTCACAATCATACATATTTTTACTCTGTAATATCAAAAAATATAGTGAATTTACTTCTTATACAATTTAAAGGCAAGAATATTATCTTGGGCATTTCGGAAAATTTTATTGATATTATTTTGAAGTATGTACCTAAGTTATGACCATTTTTAAACTGTTATTTCTACATTTTAATATTACTTAAAAATAATAATACCAATAAAATCCTCCGAGGTACCCTAAATAATATAATTTTAAAAATTACAGATTAAAATGCATTATTGTGAACGTAAAATTTGCCATAGTCTTCTGCGGAGAAAACAAATGCCATGTGGCGTCCTCTTAAGTTACAATATACATWTGTAGTCATTGGCCATTTGACCAAGTGGGTTATGTCTCATGTACCTCATACATCAATAATGATATGTTCGTATTATTATTTATGATAGGTAGATGTATGTTTGTTACAGTGGCGGATCCAGGATTTAATTTTTTTTTTTTTTTTTTAATTCCGGGGGGGGGGCCCATAGTCCAAAATGCAAATCTTAAATTTTTTCTTAAACAATTTAAAACGATAATAGCAATATAGAAATGGATTAGTGAGAATCGTCTTACAAATAAAATAAGATAGCGATGGCCAGTAAGAACGATACATGGCAAAAATAGCCGGTCTGCCGTCTGCGTTAAGGCGAAATGTCTTTATACCCGCATAATAAAAGTAATAGTAATATGTTTGGGAGAATTTCTTAATGAATAATGATAATATAATAATAATATAAAATATATGTAATGATAATATTTCTTAAATTATAATATAATGTGTTTGAGCGAAACAATATAAAAGATAAAATTATAAAA